TAAAAAAAAAAAAAAAATCAAATAATGTTAATGTAAAAAAAAAAAAAAAAAAAGAATTTATAAATAAAAAAATTCTTTTATATACCTAATCTTATATTAGTTTTTATAAGCATAAATTTAATAAATGTTTTTGATATAAATACTTTAAAAAATTTTTATATTTAAATACTCTTAGCATAAATATATTTATTATTAATATAAAAAATAGTATATAAACTTATTTTTTTTTTTTTTTTTTTTTGAACATTTTTATTTATATTATTATTTTATTATATATTACCTCTTTTATTATGTTACTAAAATTAAATGATACAGGAAAAATAAAAAAAAAAAAAAATTAATAAATTAATCATCTAATATAATGACATCATTATTACTTATTTTATTTAATTCATTAGGCTTATGAAAAAATTCGGATGAAAAAAACCCTTCTGTTAAATCTATTAATTCATTATTATTTTTTAAATTTCCACAATTTTTGCTTTTATTACTTTCATTGAATTCATTTTTTTTTTTTAATTCATCTGAATTATTACTAATAATACTTATTTGTTGAGTTTTATAAATATTTTGAAGGTTTCGATCAGTTTGTTCCAAATCAACTGTGTTATGGTAAAATTCGTTTTTTTTGTTATAAGAATTCTTAATGTATTCAGAATTATTTCTATCAATTAAATTATTACGACACATACTATCCTGTTTTTGGTTATATAAAGGGGAATTTGTTCTTTCAAATTGTCTTTCTTTGGAATTTATTGAATTATTATTTATTTCTTTTGTAAAAATATTTATTTCTGTTTTTTCAATATATATATTTTTATCATCCTTTTCTGTGCCATTTTTCGTATAATTATTATACATTTGGATTACATTATTTGTTTCATTAAAATTATTTGTACTTTCATTATCTTTATTATTTGTGTTCTCTATGTTTCCATGATGATCATAATTTTTTATATTCAATCTATTATTCAATTTATGATGATTCTGTTCATTTCTTTCATTACTACAACTTATATAATTTATTTCTTCACATATCTGCTTAGAAGTACTTGTAATATTATAATATTTGTTCCAACAGTTATTATCATATTTTCTCGTATAATTATTTTCGTAATTGTTAGAGTAACTATTATTATTTTTTCTAGAATGGTTATTAACACAAGCACTCGAATGGTTATCGTATTTTCTTGAATAATTATCACTGTATCTATTAGAGTAATTATTATTATGATCTGTTAAGTTATTATTACTATCATATTTGTTATAGTAATCATTCCTATCATATTTTCTAAAATAATCATTATCACATATTTTATAATAATTATCATTGCATTTGTTAAAATAATTACTATCATAATTTAATGAATAATTATTATCATACTTTCTAAAATTATTATTACTATTATATTTGTTAAAATAATCATTATTATTCTTGATAGAAAAGTCATTATCATATTTGTTAGAATAATCACTATTATACTTAATATAAAATTCATTATCATTATTATTAAAATAATCATTACTATGTTTCCTAATATTTTTATTAATATCGTATTTTTCAGAATAATAATTATCACATTTGTTATAATATTCAACATCATGTTTGTCTGGATAATTACTATCATATTTTCTAGAATAATCATTACTGCATTTTCTAGGATAGTTATCATTATCGTATTTGTTAGTATGATCACTATTATATTTGTTAGAATAATCATTATCATATTTATTAAGATAAACATTATTATAATATTTGTTAGAATAATAATTATCATATTTATTAGGATAATCATTATCATATTTTTTCAAATAATCGTTATCATTTTTTCCAGAATAATTATTATTATTATCATATTTGTTAGAATAATAATTATCATTTTTTCTAAAATAATCATTATCATTTTTTCTAAAATAATCACTGTCATTTTTTCTAAAATAATCACTATCATTTTTTCTAAAATAATCACTGTCATTTTTTCTAAAATAATCATTATCATTTTTTCTAAAATAATCATTATCATTTTTTCTAGAATAATCATTATCATTTTTTCTAAAATAATCACTATCATTTTTTCTAAAATAATCATTATCATTTTTTCTAAAATAATCATTATCATTTTTTCTAAAATAATCATTATCATTTTTTCTAAAATAATTATTATTATCAAATTTATTCGAATAGTAATTATTTTCTTTACTGTTAAGATTATTATTTTTATTGATAGCAGTATTATCATTAGTATTAATAAAGCTATCTGTATTATTAAAATTATTATTATTTTTATTAATATTATGATCACTACTTTCAATGTTACAATTGTTTTCATTATAATAGTTACTCCTATAATTTTCTATATTATTTTTTCTTTTAATGAAATAGTCGTCTTCGTGCTTATTTATAATTTCATTACTTAAAGTGTTATAACTATTCTTATTATTCTCATTATAATGAATAATGGTATTTTTATAATTTAATTTCATACTGTTTTCATTTTTGAAACTTTTTTTATATTCATCTTTATTATTATATTTATCTGTATTATAATTTTTTCCCATTGAATCACATGTATTTTCATTTAGGTTATTTTCAAAAGTATTAGATTTACTTTTTATGTATTCATATTCATTATAATTATCCTCTAAATTTATAATTTTATATTCTCCTTTTATTTCATCTTCTTGAGCTTCTTTATCGTCTAAAAAAGATTCTGATATTGTATGACCTTTAAATAATATAAATGTTTGATTTTTTTTTAATAATAATACTCCTCGTTTAATAATAGGATTATTATATAAGATAATTTTAGGATATATATATTTATTATTTTCTAAATAATTAAAATTCTCATTATATTCATGTTCATATGCATAAATAAAACTTTCTCCATCAAATAGTAAAAAACGATAAACTCTTTTATATTTGTTACTTTTTATATAATTATTATCCTTTTTAGATTCGAAGTATAGCTTTGTATTTTTTTTTTTTTTTTTACTTGTTTTACCCTTTATATCAGGATCATATTTTTCGTCCATATCTGAATCTGTTTGTAGTTCTTTTAATTCGTCATTTTCTTTTTCATCCTCTTCAGTAAAATTTTCATATTTGTGCATTCGTTCACTAATATTAACATAATCAACAATTTCAAAAATATTTATTCCACTTAAATAATGTTCATTTATATTCAAAATATTTTTTGGTAAACATCCGAATGGCCTTGAATAAGTAAAAGGATTAATTACAAAATGTTCATATAGCTCTTTATCATTTACATCTTTTTCGTAATTAAAATTTTTTCTATATTGCTTTAAAAAGTTATCATAGTTTAGTTTGATTACATTATTTTTTATTAACTTTTTCATTATTAATGTTCATTTTTTTTCTTTTTTTTTGAATCTCTGCATTTTAAAAGAATATTTCATAATTATTTCTTCATGTGAATAATTTTCTATACATCAAAAAAAAAAAGTTAAAATTTTATGTATATCTATGTATAGAGTTGTTTATCTTTTTAATTTTCTTTATTTTATTTTATTTCATTTTTTTATTTATTTATTTTTATTTTTTTTATTTTTTTTTTTTTTTTTTTGTGTTCGATGTAAATGTATATAATTTTAAAAAATTTATTTCTACTAATTGAAATAGAATGTATTATATATTTAAAGTAATGATTATTCTAAAAATATTAAGTTCAAAATGAATATTTTTATTTCATATATATTTGATTTTATACTTTATAAAAATTTGTAATATGGTTGCATAACTTATGATTAATGCTATAAAAAAAAAATATATTAATATTTTAACTTTTTTTTTTTTTATATATTGAAATTGTTTTTTAAATTTGAATTGTTAAAAAATTATTTGTATAATTATAATTTATTGTTATTTTTATAAAATACAAAATATACTAAATAAAACTATTTATAAAAATATTAAAAGCTAAGAGAATTATAAAATTCACAGTTTATATGTATATGGAATTAAATAACAAAAGTTATATATAATTTGAATAAAAAATAAAAATTTGTTCAAGTCATAAAGGAATATAAATAAATTAATTCAATTATATTCATTTATTAGGCATTTTTTCATATATTTTTTTTTAAATATATTTTAAAAGTATATGTAATAAAAAAAAAAAAAAAAAGTAATAACAATATTAATGATATAATATATATATATATATATATTTATAAAAACTTGAATTAAATTAACATAAAAAATTATTATATTATTTTTTTAAGATACATGAAGAAATAAAAAGAAAATAATACAAATAGACATAATAACAAAGTAAAAGTTTTATTTGGAAAAAATTAAATATACATTAATTATTTGTTTATAAAATTTTATCAATTTATGAATTTTTTATTTTATAAATTTATATAAACTTCAATTTGTATTTATATCTCCTAGGTGTAATATAAATGATCTTTTGTATCAAAACCTAAACTAGGAGAATCTTTTGTTCTCTTTGTTAAAATTTCTACTCCTTTTTCTGTAATTAATAAAGTATGCTCAAATTGAGCTGATAATTTTCCATCAGAAGTAGCACTTGTCCATTTATCTGGCCATAAAATATCGCTATAATGTCCTTGATTAATCATAGGCTCAATTGTAAAAATATGTCCAGGTTTCATTATACCTACAGCTTTATTTTTTTTAAAATGTGGGATAGTAGGATTTGTATGAAAAAGTTTTCCTACTCCATGTCCAGAATAAGATCGAACTACTGAAAAATTTTTTTTTGATACATATGCATCTATTATGTTACCAATGTTTTTATATAACATTCCTGGTTTACATTTTTTAATTGCTTCCATTAATGAAAAATAACAAGTTTCTACTAATTCTTTTGCTTCTTTTGATATTTCATTTATATCACCAACAAAAAAAGTTTCATTCAAATCTGCATGAACTCCTTTATAAAACACACTTATATCTATATTTACAATATCTCCAGTTTTTAATGGTCTATAATCAGGTATACCATGACAAACAATTTCATTAACTGATGTACAACAAGATTTTGGAAATTTATAATAATTTAATGTAGATGGATATGCATTATTATTAATTATAAAATTATGAACCTTTTTATCTATTTCATCTGTTGTTACTCCTGGGTAAACTAATGAATGAGCATAATCTAATGCTTTTCTTCCTAATATACAAGCTTCTTTTATTCTTTCTATTTCTTCCTCATTATTTATATAAATATCACTTTTTCTTTTATATATTAATTCAGAATGGGGTATAGAACTTATTGCATAGTCAGGTCGTTCTATATGTTGAGGAACTTCGTTAATTTCAGATATAGGCCATGGTCTTACATCACCTGTAAATTTAAAATCAATAAAATTTTTTAAATGATTATCATATCTCCAATATTTCATATTATTAGGATCGTAATATGTTGGAGATAACTTTTTCTTAACTATTGACATGAAATTATCTTTTTCATTATTTTGGATATTTTCATGAATAATTTGATGCTCTTTCCATGAATTTTTAAAGCATTCTTGACTACAAAAATAACTATTTAAATTATTTTTTAAACATATAGGACAACTTAATTTTTTACTTAAAATTTTCTTACATCCATTACATAAATCATCATTTTTTTTATTGTTCAATTTAATGGAAGCATTATTAGAATCATCTTTATTATTATTAATATTACCATCCTTCTGTTCATTAACTGTATTATCACCATTAATGATATTTAAATTTTCATGAATTTTATTTTGATTACTAAAATTTTCATTGGTGTCACCAAAAGAATTTTTATCGCTACTTTTTTTCTTTTCTTTCTCAAATTTCATGTCATTTAAATTATTTTGACAATTTGAGAAATTTTCATCTATATTTATTTTTAAATTTTCAATTTTTTTTTTTACATATTCATAATCTTCCATGCTTGTATTATGTTTATTTTCACCTTCATTTTCTTTATCTTTCTTATTTTCTTGAGAATTTCTATTTTTTTCTTCTATCTCAATACTCATTTTTGTAACATTTCAAAAAGAAACATTTTATACAAAAAAAATAAACAAAGTTATAAACTATTTAAAGTCAGTTAAAAATTAATAAATAAAAATATCTATATAAAGAACTCTTTCTTTTATACTGTTCATTAATTATAAAAAAGATTGAAATTAAAAATTAAAAAAAATAAAATAAAAATTATATAAATTTAAATATATATTAATGTAAATATGCATATATTAATTCATAGATTATTTTTATTAAATGAATCTCCTGATCAATAATTTTTTTTTTTTTCCTTCTTAATATATATATAGTTTTATAAAAAAAAAAAAAATAAGCCTTAAAAATTATAATGTTGCTTTTTGTTAAAATATAGAATTTTTTTTTTTACTATTTACATAAAAATACTGATATACATGTATATATTTATGTGGTATAAATGTAAATGAAACTATTTATTTTTATATATATTTTTATTATAATTTTAGATAAAAATAATCCTTTTGCTTCCATAAGATATAATAGGACAATTTTATCAAAACAAGAATATTTAAAAATTGTTTGCAAAACAAACATAACTAAAAAGGGAATGTTTTTTTTACCTAAAACATTTTTTAATAAAAATAATATTTTTCTTACCAGTATAAATTAAAAAATATTAAATTGAAAAATTTAATAAAAACATATATATATATATATTATATAATATGTCAATGAAAAACTGTGTTTTATAAATATCATTTTTTGTTTGTACATGCTATTTTATTATTTCATCATACTTGTGACTCTTTTTTTTTTTTTCTTAATAGAATAAAAGTTGAATTAAATATTTTGACTTGTTTCCTTGTGTTTATATTTTCTTTGTTTTTTTATGTTTGATAATCTTTTTGTACATATTAGAGTATTTGTTTTTTTTTTTTTTTTTTTATTTATACTTTTGTGTAAATTAGTGAAACTCGTTTATTTGCTTTTTCATTATCAAGTAATTATTAGTATATAAAACTTGGTGATTCTTTTTAGTATAGATATAAATAAATTTAAAAATTCTTTTATATATTTATATAAACATATATTAGTACTTATAATTATACATACATTTTATTGTAATCATGAGAGATAAAAACTTAAAGTTTTATAAAAAAAAATTTTATACATAAATACATTAGCTAAATTAATAAAAAGTAATGTATATAGTAAATATAATTATAAATTTATAAATCTACAAAGTATAATTATAAAATAATATATTTAAATAAACATATTTTGAAAAAATTTTTTTTTTCTCTATATATATTTTAATTAGATAAAGACATTATAAAAAAATTATTTCACTCAAAAATGGAAGCTATTAACAAGTTGCCAAAATGGAATATGCCATCAAAGGAAGGAAAAAAAACAACAAATTTATATGTAAATAATTCTTTAACTCATAGCAAAGTAGAATTTATCCCACAAGTAAACTTTATAAATATTTAAATGTAGTGTATTTTTATAGATATATAAATTCATCTATTTTTATTATATATATATTTTTTAAAAAATACTTTTTAGAAAAAATAGAAGTTTATTTATTTATTCATTTCTTTTTTTTTTTTTTTTTTTTTTTTTTTTTTTATAGGAAGGCAATAAAATTAAATGGTATGCTTGTGGGCCAACTGTATATGATGCAGCTCATTTAGGTCATGCAAGAACATACATAAGTTTTGATATAATAAGAAGAATATTAGTGAATTATTTTAAGTATGATGTTTTTATGGTTATAAACATAACAGATATTGATGATAAAATAATTAAAAGGAGTGAAGAAGAAAAAATTGGTTTTAGTGAATTAGCGAGAAAATGGGAATATGAATTTTGGGAAGATATGAAACGCTTGAATGTGCTTTTACCAACAGCAATAACAAGAGTAAGTGAATATGTAGATGATATTATAAAATATATAGAAAAAATAATTGAAAATAAATATGCTTATGTTAGTGAAGGTAGTGTTTATTTTGATATTGAGGAATTTAAAAAAAAAGAAAATCATTTTTATGCACGAATGGAACCATCATCTGTTAAAGATGAGAATAGAATATTAGAAGGAGAAGGAGATTTAGGAATGATTTCAAAAAAAAAAAAGAATTCATATGATTTTGCCTTATGGAAATCATCTAAACCTAACGAACCTTATTGGGATTCTCCATGGGGTAAGGGTAGACCTGGATGGCATATTGAATGTTCTACAATGGCTAGTAATATTTTAGGAAAAGTTGTAGATATTCATAGTGGTGGTATTGATTTAAGATTTCCTCATCATGATAATGAATTAGCACAAAGTGAAGCTTTTTTTGATCATAATCAATGGGTAAATTATTTTTTACATTCCGGTCATTTACATATTGAAGGTTTAAAAATGTCTAAATCGTTAAAAAATTTTATTACTATAAAAAGCATTTTATCAAAATACACATCCAATCAAATTAGAATTCTCTTTCTTCTTAATAAGTGGGATAATTTTATGAATTACAGTCCTAATGGAGAAAGTATGATTCAATGCATAGAAATTGATAAATTTTTCATAAACTTTTTTGCTTTAATTGATATGAAAATAAAAAATTTTGATTTAAATAATAGTAATCTATATTGGAATAACGTAGATACAGAACTAAACAATTTATTTAGATTAACTAAGAACAAAATTCATGAGTATTTACTCGATAATTTTAACACCCCAGATGCTATATTAGCAATTCAAAAATTAATAACAGAAATTAATGTTTATTTAAAAAATGAAAAAACTCAAATTGGACTATTACTAGAAATGAAGCACTATATTAACTTTATTCTTACTACATTTGGTTTAGTTTATGATGATTCTCAAAAAGCCAAATATGAAAAATTTGATCAACTTTTGCAAACATTGGGTTCTTATAGAAGAAATATTAGAATAAATTTACAAAGTAATGCAAAATCAATTAGAAAAATTTTAAAGGAAAAAAATACAAAAAAGGAATCAGATAAAAATGATACTGAAAATGAACATTTATACACTGATTTTATAAACACTGTTAAGTCTAATAATGAAAATATGTTAAAGGAATGTGATTTATTAAGAGATCAACATCTATTGAAAATGGGAATTTTAATTGATGATAGACCCGATAATGAATTTGTCATCAAGCTTTTAGATGATAATGAATTACAGCAAGAAATAAATAAAAGAAATCAAGAAATGAATAAAAAAAAAATAAATGAACAAAAAAAAAATAATAAAAATGAAAAAAGAGAATAAAAATTTTAATAAAAATCAAAAACAAAAAAAAAAAAAAAAGTGAACAGTACTCATTAGGAATTTAATTAAAAATAAATTATCTTTTCATAAATATATACCTTTTTATATGTGTATATATTTTTCTCATCTATTAGAATAAAATAGAAACATAGAAATATAGAAATACATGATAAAGTTTATTTTGAAATCATATGTTGCAATACTACAAAATTTAAAAATATTTATATTGGTATAAAATTTTCACATAAATGTTTACGTATTTTTTTCACTTTTTATTTATACAAATAAAACAAAAAAAAAAAAAAAAAAAAAATTTATATATATATATGCATATATATATTCATTAATAAAAATTAAACGAAAATTATAAATTAAAAGTAAAAATATGAACTTAAATTTATATATATACACTTTTTTTGTGGGAAGGAATATATTTATTTTAATAAATACTTCAAAATAATTTTTATTTTTACAAAAATATAACATATTTTGCTATTTTTTTAAAAATAAAATTTTTTTTTATTATGTAGTATTTTATGGTTATATAAATTTTATTTTTCTGTATTTATTTAAAATTTTATAAAATAAATGAAAAAAAAAATGCTGATATAAAATTTTTTTAAACTAAAAATTTAGTTCTTAAATCTTATAAAATTTCAAGAATAATCATAAAATGAATTATTCATTTATCAATTTTTTAAAAATTATGAAAAAAATAAAATTAAATAAAGTATAATAAAATAAAATAAATATAAATTAAAATAAAAATAATTATGAAATATTATACATTTTTCAATTATATTTTGTCGAAAATTTTTTCTTTGAAATTATGACAGATATATAAGCCTTTTTCATTTTGAAATTATTTGACAGAAAAAATGTAACTTGTTTTCATTTTGTAGTTATTTAAAAAAGGGAAATTTTTCCTGATACTTAATGAAAAAATATACAATATAAAACAAAAATTTTTTTCATATATTTTTATTTTTTTATTTTATTTTGTAAAATGGCTGAAAGAAAAGTTTTGAATAAGTATATACCTCCTGACTTTGATCCTGATAAATTAATAGAAAGCAAAAAATTATTAAAAAAGATAGAAAAGAGAAAAAATAAAAATAAAAATAAAAATAAAAAAAAATTACTAAATATAAGAATGATGTATCCATTTACCTTAAAATGTAATAAATGTAATAGCTTTACATATGTTGGTACTAAATTTAATTCAAGAGTAGAAAAATTAAAAGATGAAAATTATTTGAATATTCCAATATGGAAATTTTATGGAAAATGTCAAGATTGTAAAAATGAGATTATTTTTAAAACTGACCCCAAAAATGGGGATTATTTACTTATATCTGGAGGTGTGAGAACATATGACGCTCATAAAGAACAAGAATTAGCTGATGATTTTTATAGATCCAATAACAATGCTGGTGAAGAAGATAAAATTAAAAATACTGAAAAAGAATCATACAATGCTCTATTAGAGCTAAAAAGAAATGAACAATTAGAAGAATTACAAAATATGAACAAAAGACATATAGATAAATTTAATAGTATAAATAAAGCATTATCGCATTTATATGAAAAAAGTGAAAATGAGAATAATGAAAATAAATTTTACATGAACTATTTAGACTCAGAAGATGAAAAAGCTTTTTTTAATTTACTCAATAAAAATAGAACATTCACAGAGGATGCTAATGAAAGAATAAATAAAGATCAAGGAATTATATCTAATACATATAAAGGTGAAAATAATAATCTAGTTGTAGAAGAAGAAATGGAGGAAGAAGTAGATGAAGAAACATTAAAAAATGATTTAATAATTAAAAATGAAGAAAAATTACAAGATATTAACGAAATAAAAAAAAATGAAGAATTTTTAAAAGAAAATGTCCATAATAATCTAGAAGAAACTAAAAAATTAAACAAAAAAAATAAAATAAACAATAATAATATTATAAAATTTAACAAAGATGATTCTGAATATAATGATAGCGTAAATAATAACCATAATATATCAAATTTAAAAAATAATATATTTAAAAAAAAAAATTTGGAAACTGGTTACAATTTTATCATTAAAAAAAAAGAAAATTTATCAGATATTTTTAATGAATATAATTCAGATAATACAGATGATTTAAAAAATTAAATTTAAAAAAAAAAAAAATAAAAAGGAAATAATAAATATATACTCCTTTGTTATATATACGCATTAAAAATGGTTTCTCTTAATTTTGTTTTGTTTTAACACATAATTTTTTTACTGTATTTTTATTATTTAAATTAAAATGTACCTACCTATTTTTATTGTTTATAAATACTTTTTCTATCTTTTGTTTTTTATAGTAACTAAATTTTATTTTTATAATAAATTTATGCTTAATAAAATGTTAATTTTTTTTTTTTTTTTTTCATATTTTTCTGTAAAATACATTAAATATCTTTATTTTTTTTTTTTCTTCATCGAGTGAAATACAAATAAAAATAAAAGGTAAATTTTATTTTAATTTAATTTGTATATATGAACAATTAATTTTTTTTTTCTTTTTAACATATGCTCTACTGAAATAATTAAATAATAAAAAATTATATACATATATATATATATAGAAATATTTCCTATAATTTGAATTTTATTTTCTTTTTTCTTACAAATATTTAAATAATCAAAAAGATAAAACATTTTTTTTGTAAAAAGTAATAAAGAAAATTCAAGACAGAAACTTATTAGCAAATAAGAAAATATCTAAAGGATATTATTAATTAAAAATTATTTTAATAAAATAAAAATATTTTAACAAATATATATTAATTTTTATTAGTAAAAAAAATAAAGAAGAAAAAATGTTTCCTTAAATATAAAATTTTATTTATTAAAATAGTTCAATAAAATAAAAAAAAATTACAAATAATTTAAAAGAAAAAAAGTATAATGTATAAGAGATGCAGTAAATTGTATTTCAATTTAGCAAGGATAAAAAAAAATTAAATTAAATTACATAAAACTTAAAAATATAGAATTTTTTTTTCGATTTAATTAAAAAAAAAATTAATAATAAAAATAATGAATACGAAGACATATTTTTTTTTACTTCTACACATTTTTTTTTTTTTTTTTTTTTTTGGTATTTAAAATTGAAATAAATTTGTTTCTTTGTTTTAAAAGAAAAAAAAAAAATTTTTAGTATTCTATTTTTTAGTATTTTGTAAAACATTTTTAATTTATTTTTCTTTAGTTGATACTCTATTATATCTTTCATAATCCCAATTTTTTAGAAAATATGCAGGTAAATAGCAATCGTTGCATTTTAGAAATTCATTTTTTACTGTATCATTCATTGAACCAATAGATGAGTATCCGTGATTATATAAAATACAATAATTAAATTTAAAATATAAAATAAAAGTCCAAATAGCTCCGTAAGTCCAATAAAAAATTGGATTTAAATATAAATATGGTGGAAAATTCCTTGAACTAATATTTAAAATGTGTAATTTTTCACTATAAGAATCATTATACCTTGTTCCATTAATAAATGCTATAGTAGGATAAAATGAAACAGGATCTATATTTGGTATTTTTACTTGATTTAAAAAATCATTTTCATACATTTTATGAAAATTTTCTATAAAATGAGTTACACCATTTTTCCATGTTCCTTTTATTATAATAATATTAAAATCATGCATATATGCACATTCATTTATAAACTGATATACTTCTGGGAACTCATTAATTTCATCTTTAAAATAAATTAAATTGGGCTTTTTTCTTTTTCCTTTTATATCCTTTATATATCTTGCATAAGCACATCTAAATAAATGTAAAGTCACAACTGCATCTTTTCCTCCATTAAAAGATAAAAAAACATTTTTCTTACAAAGACGAAAGATATCATAAATGTAATCAATTGCTTCCATTATATCTTCAGATAATTCTATTGCTTTTTTTTTTAAATTTACTTCGTCTTTGTAATAATTTATTACATCATAATTATACATACTCGGTTTTATTATATTATTATTTCCTCCTCTTATATTACTCTTTACTTCATTATCATCTTTTAATATATTAGGATTACTTATCTCTTTATTACAATCTTTTATTTTATTGGCCTCTTTCATATGTTCATAATATAACTTTTCTATTTTTTCATAGAACTTCAATGAGTTCGAATAATCATTCCATTCTTCATTGTCTTCAATATCCATTATTCAATTTTTCATAAAATTTAAATTTTATTTTTCAAATTTTTTCAAAACTTTTTTTTAAATCATATTTTTAATAATTCAAACAAAAAAAAAAAAAAAAAATGAAAAAAAAAAAATAATAAATAAAAAAAAAAAGATTAAAATTTATATAAGTAAAATTATAAGTAATTAAAAAAAAAAAAAAAATTTAGAAATTAAAAAAGGAAAAGCTAAAAAAGTAAAAAAAAAAATTTTAAATTAAGTAACAAATGAATTCATTAAAAATATCACAAAAAATACATGAATTTATTTATATAGTAATATAAAAACAATGATATCAAA